CCTTCTTTTTTTTTTCTTTAAAGAAAAAAAAAACTTTTTCGTTTCATGTTAGTTAGCTGATGTTGTTGCTTTCGTTTCAACTTCCTGATTGTAGTACCTAGTGATTGTTTGGTATCTTTGCTTCGGTTTTCTGATTGGTGTGCTTGTTGTTGCCCTTCTTTTACCTTTCTTAAGCCGAGGGTCTACGGGGGTAAGGTCTGCGTACATACTACCCTCCTCAGACCCCACTTGTGGGATTACACTGGGTTTGTTGTTGTTGTTGTTGTTAGTTAGTTAGCTGGTTTGTAAGCTTCTTGAAGTTAAAATTCTCATAAGGTTACTGAACTAACGGAAATTGTTTAAGAAAGTCATTTTACTTTGTTTTGTAACAGAAAAGTCACTCTATTTTGTCCATTTTAACTGAAAAGTCACTTTATTTTGTTTTGTAATCCAAAAGTCACTCTATTTTGTCAATTGTAACTGAAAAGTCACTATATGCTTTCAGGGGACATTTCTGGTTGCATTTTAGATACATATGTCTGCGCCATTTTGTTTTAACCGATATAGTAAGATATGAGAACGTTGAACCCATAAAGATTAAAAATCCTGGATCCCGACTATAGCTGATTGTGTAAAAATTTCTGCAGTGCCAATACGTAGATTTTAAGTTTATCTTGAACGAGACAATATAATTCATTCACTTAAAATGAAACTCTATGGGATCATCTGACTAGCTTTACCTTTCACAGGGAATAGTTCGCTTAGCATTAACAGCTTCAATTGATTCACTGAGGCCTCAGCAAATATGCAAAAATGATTCAGACTTTTGTACGAGTCCCACAAAATCTCAGTTTGCCTTATTATATGGAGGTATTACCTTGGCATCCATTGGTTTAGGTGGAATGCGAACTAACATAGCAACCATTGGAGCAAACCAATTTCGCGACTCAAAGTATCAGAACATGTTCTTTAATTGGTTCTTCTTCACAATGTACACTGGGACAATTATAGGATTCACAGCTATTGTCTATATAGAAGATAATATCAGCTGGAAAGTTGGATTTTATGTATGTATAGCTGCCAATTTTCTTGGTTTAGTTGTCTTTTTAGCTGGAAGTCGCTTATACCATTATGCTAAGCTTGAAGTTAGCCCCTTTACTAGTTTAGCTCGTGTGATTGTGGCCGCCATTTCGAAAAGGAAACTTCCAGTTTCACCTTCACAGGAGAATTGGTATCATGGACCATATGGCAGAACAACAATGTCCATTTCAGCTTCAAGAAGCTTTAGGTAACTCCTCATTTTCAATTTTGAGATGAGTTTAACTTCTATACACTTAAAAGGATAAATATAGGTCACTTGGCTATACAAATTTGTGATCACTAACTTGAAAAATAAGGTAAGTTATCTGTTACAACATGTTAAAATACACTGGTAGTGTAAAAATTCTTTACACTGACAGTTCAATTTATGAGTATCGATAAATTGAAGGATATCTTCTCTTGCGATGCAGATTCTTGAATCGTGCAGCGCTAAAATGTGAAGGAGACGTTAAGCCGGATGGTTCAATCGCGAAACCATGGAAACTTTGTACAGTAAGTGAAGTAGAAGACTTTAAAAGCCTAATGAGAACTCTTCCATTGTGGTCATCCAGCATATTTCTGTCTACTCCAATTGCAGTTCTAATTAGTTTGTCTGTACTTCAAGCCTTAGCCATGGATAGACACATAGGACCACATTTTCAAATTCCTGCTGGTTCCATTCCTGTTATTATACTCATCTCTACTGCAATCTTTCTAACAATATTCGACAGATTACTCTTTCCCATGTGGGAAAAATTAACTAGCCAATCTGTCACGCCCTTCAAACGAATCGGAGCTGGCCACGTGCTGACTTTTGTTGGCATAGGAGTGGCAGCTTTGGTTGAGTCTAAAAGACTAAATGTAGCACATAATTCACACAACCTTAGCCAAGGACGTTCCAATATTGTGCCTATTTCTGTCTTATGGCTCGTGCCACAACTAGTTATCATTGGGATTGGAGAGGCATTTCATTTTCCAGGACAAGTAGCATTGTACTATCAAGAATTTCCGACATCTTTAAAGAGTGTTTCAACAGCCCATGACATGGTTAGCCATTGCCATTGCGTATTACCTGGACACTGCGTTGATTGATCTTGTTCGTAGGGCGACTAATTGGTTGCCTAATGACATAAACCAGGGGAGAGTGGACAATTTTTATTGGGTGTTTGCTGTGATTGGAGTGTTGAACTTTGGCTATTATTTACTACTATGTCTTTTATTTTACAAGAAAAAACGCGGGAAGAAAGTGGCTGATAGTGGTGCATCCAACTGATTTTAGCTAGTATGGCTCAATAATGCAGCAGCGAATCCAGAATTTAAATTCTATGGATTGACGTATATGTGTACTTCTACCTATATATATACTTGTTTTTCGTACATATGTAGTGTTATGACTCCGTAACAATGAACCCATCATTGGATCTGCCACGGCAAGTCTTTGTTCTGTGTTATTTTGTTGTTCTGTCCTTTTTTTTTTTTTGGGGGGAACTTCTTGAGATTGGATAACTATATATGGTATATACTTCGTTGTATCATTCTATAAATAGGCTTTTCCTTACAAAAGGATTTCCACAGGGATCAGATTTAGAATCTTTCTCTATTATAAAAGGAAAAAAGAAAAAGAATCTTCTTCTACTTAAGAAGTCACTTTACAGCATCATGTATGCATCTTGGACAGACAAATAAATTCTATCACCTCTTAAAGAATTACAAAGCCAAATATATAGAATTGCCTATTTAAATATAAGGAAGGGGAGCCTTGGAGCAACGGTAAAGTTGTCTACCTATGACCTATGGATCACGGGTTCGAGTTGTGGAAGCAGTCACAAATGCTTGCATTAAGGTATGCTGTCTACATCACACCCATTGGCGCCATTCTTGATATGAAGAGCTTCTCCTTTAACGTCCATACAAGCCGTGGCGAAGGCAGGACTTTTGCTAAGGGGGTTCAAAAAGGAATAAGTTTAAAATTTAAAGAGTGGGAATTAAACCAATGACCTCATAATAGTTTTGAACCCCCTTGACCACTAAGCCATGCTTTTGGGCTGTATGAAGGGATTCATAACATAACATATAGAGGTAAAAACCAGATTTTGCCTTATATACATAGTGTAATTTTTCGGCGAAGGGGGTTCGAGTAAACACCCTTGCGCCCCTACATCCGCCCGTGCATACAAGTATGGTACAAATCCGAATTAATCAGATCAGTGGATTTCGGATAGTAAGTGGTTACTCTACTTGCAAGTATCTTTATGATCTCTCTGAAATTTGATAACGCACTAAAAAAAAGTATTTTAATCATTTGACGGCTAGTTTTGAGAATATTTCAAACCTAAGTGCTTGTGGCATTGATGCTTCCACTATCAAATATCAATGCTTTGGGACATTGATGCTGTAGTGCAAAAATAATTATAGGGTTAATTTGATGTCGTCAGCTATCAACCTCTAAAAATTTCTGGAAACACTATTTATTGTTTTATTGGGGAAATTACGCTCCTTGTCACTTGGCCTAACAGTTCATCAAAAAATGGCCCACATTTGAAGCCCTTACCTGATATAGCCCAGGTTGTATATAATCTGAATTTTTTTTTCACCAGTTAGCCCACCCTATTTTTTTCTTTTCTTCGTTCTTCTTCTTCTTCCTCTTTCACGATTTTGAACCCCAAAGTTTTTCTACCATTATATATATATTCTTCAATTCTCCTTCCATATTCAAAGTTGATAATCACTATTAAGATGAGAAGAAAAAATACCACTTAAGAGAATTACTATTTTGGAGTCACCATTAAAGGTCATTCGAAGCTTCAATTTTAAAATTGGATTTTTCGATTTTGTTAGTTGTTTGGATTGGGTGTTGGCCCAATTGATTGGGATCGTCAAGGGGAGTTCAAAACTCAAATTTGAAGTGATTTGGAGCAGATTTGAGGTAGATTTGAGTTGAATTTCAGAAGATGCCCAAAGAAGAAGAAGAACCAGTGAAGCTCCATTAATATGATTCATTTGTATAATAGTGTATAATATTATATAAGTAACATATAATAGTGTATAAACATCTCTTATACATTATTTTATACAAGGCTGATACATTTCTTATTCCTCCTCCTCCTCCTCTTCATTTTATACACTTTTATACAACTATATATATAATATACCTCTTTGTATAAAAGTGTATAATATTGTATAAAAGTGTATAAGCATTTCTGACGAATTTTTTGTACGATTTTCACTTGCACTTTTTGATATTTGGATCCTGTAAATAATGTATCAGTCTTGTATAAGTGAATCTGTTTCTCTTTGCAAAGTATACTTGATGTAGTTGTGCAGAATGCAGATCAGTACTGTGGATTTTCTCAATTGTATTTGATGTAGTTGTCTTGATTCATTTTTGTTGTTTGAGCTGTTTTCTTACTTCTGACCATAATGTGTAATGTCCTTTTATCTTATAGGTTAAAATCTTATGCGAGAAACCGCTCTCTGCAATAGTTATTGCTATTCTATTCAGGAGTGCTTTGACACTAAATGAGCATATTGCTTCCATATGGATGAGCATCTAGCTTTAAATGCAATGCTATTGGATTAATGCAGATCTCAGTATAAGTTGGACGACCTTATTTGGACAGGGTATCCCTT